CTTTTGTAATCGCCTCCTTCAACCTACCATGAGCACCACTTCCACTCCTGTTAACCTGATCCTTTCCCTCATGCCATCACCATTGGTTGACTTCAGTCAGTGCCTTAAGGGGTTGGGGATGTACATGTATTCCCTGCATGTACATCCCCGTCTTGTGCGCGCTCTCCTTTTTTTTTGAGTTTGTCATTCCTCCCCCACCGCTAAAACCAAACTTATTCCCCATTTATTTGTCACCTTTCCTAGCACTACTGCCTTATCGTAATGCCCATTGTTTTTTCTTGTTATCTTCCTAAGTGCCTTGGAATGTTTACTATGTCATAACTGCACGTTGGTAAAATTTGCTAGATGTTTAACATTTTAGGGCAACATAAAGAATTGAGACTTTCTAAAGTTGAAGATTAGGGTTTAGGATGAGTGAATTTGAATGTTTCCATTGTTGGTTAAGAATTCATTGGTGCATTGTTTGCTCCTCATTGTAGTCAGTGCTAATTGAATGGTGGGTATTGAACTGAATGTGAAAACCTGCTTTGTGAAGTGTAAGCTAGTGATCTTTAATTTTCTAAAGTGTGATGTTTTAGTAGGTGTTAGAAAAGTACAGAGTACAATAATTGGCAGGCAATCTTTTGACTTTCCTCTGGTGCGATAGAGAAAAGTGCTGTCATCAATGACAGATCATCCTACAAACGTCAAATTCTACCCATGACTGCAAACTAAAGGTCCAAAGTTGACACAGTCTGCCATGACTAAAAGACAGCAAAGCGTAAAGCTACTGAGAAAATGCAGCAGTAGTTTAGCTTTTAAAGGCTACAGCAAGCACATAAAATATCTCGTCTATACGTCCCATTACCTGTACCCTATTTGTAGGTAGAAAACTATGCTCTTGATTAGTAAAATGCTTGGAAACGGGGCTAACTGGAAGCCAGTTCGATTTCAGCTTCAATATGACCTGAGTGAATCTAGTCTACTAACCACACATGTTGTAGTTTACCTCAAGTTACAGACATCAAAAGATTCTATATTTTAACAGCCACAGTTGTATATAGTTACAAGGTGGATTATCAGTTTTTTTTCCTCTGATAATTGTAAGTAGATTTTGTTTGCATAGTTGAATTCCTGCAGTTAGTCACCAGCTGTGTTTGTGAAGCTTATCGGCTTATTCATCTTTTGGGAAGTCGTCCCTTAGTGTCATCTGCTTAGTGAAAAGATAGATGGAAGCAATTAGCCCAGGACCATCACTTATAGGTCCTTCAGTGTAGTTTGTTCTCTGGATCTTGCTCAGAATATCCTTCGCTGTAATTAGTGTTTGGAACTGATCGTGTTTCAATGGTACTGTACCACAATTCAGCTATTGTTCAGGTGCACTGATGTTCACTAACACGTTGGCAGTTGAGCCCATTTTATGTTGTGCCACAAATTTTTTAGAAAAGGATATCTCCGATACCGAGTTCTCAAAGATAATGTGGCTGAGTGATCGACAACAACAGTATTGTTTTTTTTCCCCCTCCCTTCTATTCATGTGATCATGATGGCACAGGGCTGGTCCCAAGCTGCGATTCTTTGTGGATAAATGTAAGCATTGTGACAGTTTTTTTTTTACTGTTTTGTGGAAAGAAAGCCCTACATATAATGATGAAAACACGAACCTCCAATCTGCTTGTGTGAAACACAATATTAGAGTCATAGAGTTGTACAGCATGGAAACAAACCCTTCAGTCCAACTCTTCTACGCCGACCAGATAGCCGAAATTAATCTCGACCCATTTGGCCGATTATTCCTCTAAACCATTCCTATTCATTATACCCATCCAGATGCCTTTTTAAATGTTGTAATTGTACCAGCCGCTACCACTTATTCTTCTGGCAGATCGTTCCATACGCACACTACCCTCTGCATGAAAAAGTTGCCTGTTAGGTCCCTTTTAAATCCTTTCCCTCTCTCCTTGAACCTATGCCCTCTAGTTTTGGACTCCCCTACCTTGGGAAGAAGACCTTGGCTATTCACCCTATCCATGCCCCTCATGACCTTATACACCTTTTATAACACCCTCCAAAGTGCCAGAAAAAATAGGCCCAACCTCTTCAGCCTCTCCCCATAGCTCAAACCCTTCAACCCTGGCAACATCCTTGTAAATCTTTTCTGAACCTTTTCAAGTTTCATTACTTTGTGTAGTAAATCTGTAACTATTGGTATTTTATTCTGGAGTGACAGCTGTGCACAATTCTCATCCAGGAATATTGAGTAGTTGTGTAAAGCTATGGGAGTAATTTACATCCGTTCATTGAGTGGTGGCCTAGCAAAATGATAAGATTTTACATCGAAACAGAAATACAGGGTCCATTTTGGAAAGGTTGTATCAAAACGCCTATAGTGACAATTCTGTCTTCGGGAAGCGTTTTTACACGGGCTTGCATAAAGCACATTTGCTCCATCTCTCTCTCTCAATGTCTGTATTCTTAATCTTGGCGATTATTAAATTTTCTTCTGCATTTTGGTAATTAAATCTAGGGAATAAGTTGTCCGACTTGGTCTTCCGTGACCTGAGTGGTAGTCTTGAAGTTACACGTGATTTTAAAAAAAAAACTAACTTGCATTCCTTGAGGAGAGTTGGAATTTCTTTCCATGGAGTGAAATGCAAACTTGGAAAGATCATTAACCTACCCACAAGGTGCAAGGGTCAATGTCTGGCTTTTTTGAATGGCTGCCTTCTGTAAACCATTCAAACACTCTCTTTGGAAATGTTTCTTCACAGTAAACTTTGAGCTTTGGAGCATGCCGGTTAGATCTGCCTTTTCTAGTAATACTGATATACTACAGTACAATAAGAGAATTCATCCCCGCTGTAAACTGAACTCTAATGTCAAATACATTAAATGACTCAAGTGAAATGGTGACAGTTAATTTCACAACTTGAATTTGAATATTTAAAGATGTGCAATAAATTCATAAACTATCATTGTGGAGTATTATAAATTAAAACACATCATTTGTCTGTGAATCAATGTTGGTTTCCTCCCCCTTCCCAAGTTAAATAAGAGTTTGATTTACAGAAATCCATTTTTAATATTCCCAAGGCATTCTATACATTTTAAAAATAAGAGGACAACTAGGGAGATGGTAGGACCACTCCCGGGATAAGAGGGAACTTGTGCTTGGAGGCAGAGTATGTGGGCGAGACCCTAAATGAGTACTTTGTGTTGGTAATCACCCAGAAGAAGGAAACTAGAAGGAAATGAGATTAGTGTGGAGCATGCTAATATGATATGGCATTTTGAGATCAAGAAAGAAGTGGTGTTGGGTCTCTTGAAGAGCACTTGGGTGGATAAATTTCTGGGGCCTTGATCAAGATCTTTGTATCCTTGTCAGCCACTAGAGAGGTCCTGGAGGGCTGGTGAGTTGTTAATGTTGTTCCTCTGTTCAAGAAGGGAAATGAGGATAATCCTGGAAACTATAGACCAGTGAGTGTCTCATCAGTAGTTGAGAAGCTACTGGAGAGAATTATTAGGGATAGGATTTACACGCATTTTGAAGAGCATGGCCTAATTAGGTACAGTCAGCATTGCTTTCTGTGGGGCATGTCTTACTAATTGATTGAATTTTCTGAGCAGGTGACAAAGGTGATTGAGGGTAGAACAGTAGATGTTGTCTACATGGATTTTAGAAGGGGTTTTAACAAGGTCCCTCCATGTTAGACTCATCCAGAAGATTAAGATGCATGGGATCTATGGTGAGTTGGCTGCATGGATTCAGAATTGGCATGCCCATAGAAGGAAGAGGGTAGGGATGGAAGGGTGATTTGTTTTTTTTTATTTCTGGCTGGAGGTCTGTGATCTGTGGTATTCTGCACGAGTCCATAGGACCTGTGCTGTTTGTGATATATATAAATGACTTAGAGGAAAATTATAGATGGCGAATTAGTAAGTTTATAGACGAAACAAAAGTTGGAGTTGTGGGTAGTATAGAACGTTATCAAAGGATACGACAGGCTATAGAATCAGTTGCAGATATGGGCAGAGAAATGGCAGATGGAGTTTAATCCGGGCGAGTGTGAGATGCTGCATGTTGAGAGATCAAATGTTAAGGAAAAATATACAGTTAATCGCAGGGCTCTGAACGGAACTCTGATGTACACAGGAATCTTGGGGTTCAAGTACAAAGCTCCCACGCTAATGAAGGCATATGGCATGCTTGCCTTTATTGGTTGGGGTCTCGAGTACAAGAGGCAGCATGTCATGTTGCAGCTTTATAAGACTTTGGTTAGGCCACAGTTTGAGTACTACATTCAGTTCTCATCACCACATTACAGGAAGGATGTGGAGGCTTTGGAGATGGTGCAGAAGAGGTTTACGACGATGCTTGGATTGGAGGGTATGAGCTATAACGAGTGGCTGGAAAAACTCTGGTTGTTTTCTCTGGAGTAATAGAGGCCGAAGGAAGACTTGATTAGAAGTCAATAAAATGGAGATGCATAGTCAGGGTTGACAGTCTTTTTCCCAGAGGTGAAATGCCTAATACTAAGGGGTGTGTATTTAAGGTGAGAGGGGGAAAGTTCAAAGGAGATGAGGGGCAAGCTTTTTTGAGTGGTAGAAGTCTGGAACGTGCTGCCAGGGTTGGTGGTGGAAGTAGATACGATAGGGACATTTAAGGAGCTTTGAGATAAGCCAGTGAATATCCAAGGAATGGAGGGATATAGACCAAGGGCGGGCAGAAGAGATTAGTTTAATTTGGCGTCATGATTGGCGCAACATCATGGGCTGAAGGGCCTGTTCCTATGTTCTGTTTTCCAAATCCCACAATAACCATTCAATAACCCTGTCGCATGTAAATAAGGTGGATATGTTTACTGTCCAGTGTAGCAACACCCACCCGAAGAGAAAAGGATAATTGCGGATGTTCTTCAATATCCGGACTCTACTCAATTCATCTACATCATTGTCTATCTTAGTGTTGCATCTGTCAGTTTCCACAGCTAGAGTTACAATGTGAACTTATTTTATTTCAGTGGTATTTCACGGACCTCCTCCAGCAAAGATCAAGCGAGAATCTCACAGCCCGAATACGGATGTATCCTGCCGTCATAAGCAGAGTCTCAATTCTGGCTATGGAGAAAACTGCCTCTACAGTTATAGGTACTACAGTGGGTTATTCTTAGACTTGGAGAAATCTTCAACTCTGCTTCTTTTTTGTTTTGGCCTCCATGGCAACAATTATTTCATTGACTATGAAGAATTTTAGGAAGTTGAGGTCATCAAAGATGAGTTATACAATTACAATTTCTCGTATTTTTAAACAAAACACTCTTTTTTTTGTATCTCTTTTTAGTCATATCAGCCTTTACTACTTCCCTTGCTGTCATCTTGTGTCTTGGCATACTAAGTGCTTTTGGTGCTGCAGTAACTCTAGCCAAGTCCACCCTCTTTGCGCTACTCTTTCACTTAAGGTTTTATATTTGTATTTTTTCCCAATGGTGAGGGTTTTTTTTATTAGCAACTGATTAAAAATCATACCTATCTCACATGATTCAAGCTCAAACCTGCCAAACATTCTGCTTTTGAGGCAAGTACTCAGCTATCAAGTGAACATCCCAATGGCTGTCTATTCTGGTCCAATGTTTGTACAGTTTTTATTTCTTGTGGTTTTTATATGTTGCTTTGATAGCTACATATTTTAGTACAGAGTACAGTTGGTTGCACTTCAGTTCGGAGTTAAACTAGAAATCTTTAGGCAGACTAAGCATAAACTATTGTCCCATATAATGTAATGCTTACGTAAGATCATAAGACGTCGGGGCAGAAGTAGGCCATTCAGCCCATTGAGTATGCACAGCCATTCAATGCGATCACGGCTGATCTGATAATCCTCAACACCACTTTCCTGCCTTTTACCCCATAACCCATAATTCTTTTCCTGACTGAAAATCTGTTTATCCCCACTTTGAATATACTAGCATCACAAAATGCTGTGTTGTAAAATGGACTATAATGATTTTCAGCATGGGAAGAAACATATTGTAGAAAGATGATGGGCTGGTTGTATATACTAAATTACATAAATTAATCCAACCTACTTTATTTTGGATATAGGCCAATTTTGCAATGCAATCCTGTGCTCTGCAAGACACATCTTGCATGGAAAAATAATTAAGGATTGCTTGCTTGCTGAAAGCCATTAAAAGTGTTATAGAAATGTGTTTTTAGGGTGGTGAGGGACTGAGCTCTTTAAGAACCAGATGGGTTTCAGATTTAATCCTCAGTTTATTTTGGTTCTGTTTTCTCTTTTTTTTTCCAAGCTGCATGTGCGATGAGGATAGAATAATTTTCCCAAGTAGTCCTAGTTTCGAAAGGAGAGCTATTGCTGTGATTTGGTAGAAAGTGAACCTAATCAGGCCTGAAGTCGCTTCCTGTGTGATGCCCTTCACAATCCTAAGGCTTGATTGTAATTGCTGTTTAGGATCAGAAGCTAATGCTTTGTTTATGTGAAGAATGTGAGTCATGAAATGTTGGTAAAGCAATTCTGACTTGGGAAATGGGGCCCGATAGTGAATGTGCAGCGATCCCTTCCTTTTAATAAACTCTTACATTTGGGCTATCATCAAAGATGATGCAAGCATCTGTATGGGACACATGCACACTCTTGTATACAAAGAGCTGTTAATTGTAACAGATTTTATGGTAAAGAGTATTGTCTTTACACCTCCACTGTTCACCAATGCTAACCTGAAAGATGTGCCAAGTGAAAAGCTAGCAAAGTATCTAACGTTTTGTCCTTTCTTTTTTCTCTACTTGCAGTGCCTATGATAGGAAGCCCCCCGCTGGGTTCAAGCCATTAACTCCACCAGCGACCCCTGTGTCTCCAGTTCATCAGAATTCCCCTCTTTCACACCTTCCATCTGCAGCAGTGCCAGTTTCAGCCCATGGCCCTACGTCAGTTCCAGTTCAGGCTGCAGTTCCTGCATCAGCGCAGCAGCAGCAACAGCAAACCTTTGCAGTACCTCGACCTCCCCAACCCGCTCTTCAGATGTCACAGAACCTGACTGAATCCCAGTATGCACCAGAGCACAGGTATGGATATGATTGACTGTCCCCACTGAATTTTTATGGTGGGCTCGCTTTATTGTTTGTAGGCGCTAGATGAGGGAAGACTTCCAGGTTGTGCGGAAATGCACATTTGTGGCCCCAGTTCCTAAACACACTCTTTGACACCCTTGGATCTGTGCATGTTGTAAAACAAAATCGATTTCAAAAGGTTTGGTCGCTGGTCTGTGCTGTATTCTGTGATGTCTGCCAGGATTATCGGAGGAATGTCTTGGATAATTATGGCGTTTCCACAACAGCGCCGCCCCCCCCGATCCCAACCATCACTCAAACCAGGGAAAGGAGGAATTGGTCAAGATTTGCTGTGCTGACCATTGCTAAGCAAACCCTTGCTGGAAAACGTGTATACTGTGAGTTCAGAGTCTCATTCAGCTGTGATGGCCCCTGTGGTGGCATGGCTTGCCCAAGCTGACTTTCTGGGGAGTCTTAGCAGCTCAAGTGAGGGGAGGGCAAGCGACATCTGCGTGTGAGGCATTACATTCAATGGAGAGGCAAGAGCAAGCAATTGAGGGACTGGGTGGTGTGAAGAGAACGTTTTCATTGAAAAAGCTGAATTTTCGGTGCACTATGCACCACTTTAATCTTGCATTATGAATGAGTGAGGAAAATCTATTGCCCCAAGGTACTGCTTGTCCAATTATTAGATGTTCTACATCTTTAGCCTCTCAAAATAACAATTTGAATATTGTGCTTAAAATGCCACAATCGCTAACTGGATGAACTGTCAGCAAAAATAGAATCCAGCTGAATCCACAGGGTGCTCTCTTGGCTAAACAAAAGAGAAGGAATTTTATTCCTAAGGTCAGATCCTTTATATCCTTATGCACAAATGGGGTTTTACTGGAGTTATTTTGGGTGCATTGGCTGAATAAAAAGCCCATTAACATTATTGAGCTCTTGAAGGAGTGCAGAAAGAATATGGTATTTTGAGCAGTGGCAGCTCCCGAGATGGCACTTGCTTCCGTGGCAGCTTTTGCTTCCCACAACTCTTGGCTTTCATTGCTGCCAAGTGGCATGCACGGGATGCTGGCTCAGGACCATCTGGAAGTGTTTGTTCCGATAGAGACATACCAGTGGAGCTATGGATTTCAGCTTGGCAGACAGCTTGATACGAAGTGGAAATGGGACTAATCTGACTGCAGTCAGCTGTGAAGGATCATCTTACGTGGAAAGTGGTGCTGGAGATCTAGCTGATGTGTGGATCGCCTTTTTGAGGTGCTAAAGGATTCTCGAGTGGCATGGTTTGGCAATGTGCTGCCTTGCCCACCAAGATGGAAGTAGTTGAGACCAAATAGGCTTTTCTTTAACGTGAAAGTACTATTCAATGGAGATACAATAAACTCTGGATTGCTCAGAACAGAATAAATAGATGTTCGTTGAGATTCTAGTTAATACATGGCCTGTTAGCAATTTAAATGCTTCATTTCAAAATATATATTCAGTCCACTCCCATTATTTAATGGGACATGTATTATACAGTCTGCGTAACCAGGCACACACTATAGTTTAAAGACAGTTTGTACGTTTAGGCTTTCAAATTAAAGCCTTTGTTTATGAGTGCGTACACGTGATGTAGAAAACTCTTAGCTATTTGTAATGCTTCATAATCTGCCTCATGAGTCTAGTGTTCAAGCAACATGCATTTTTGCTAAATTACGACCTAACCGGTAATTTGAACAACAATCCATAATTGTGGAGAATAGAATGGTCAGATTTTTTTTAGAAGTTGCACAGAAGACCTTTATTTAACCTATGTCTATTTAAGCAGGTAGAAGGAGCCTTTATATTCCATTGTGCTATGTTTTGAGAGGTGACTGATGCTGACTTTGTTTTATTGCCAAAGGTTCCACCGGCAGATGTCCGAACCATGTCACCCGTACCCACCCCAGACAGGAATCCCCAGTGACAGTCGGCAAGTTTATCAGCGGCAGATGTCAGAACCGATGCCTTCACCATCTCCTCAGGGCTTCAAGCAGGAATACCATGACTCGCGTTACGAGCACATCGCTACAGGCGTCAGCGGTCCCAGCGGACAGAATTTCCAAGCCCCCCTCGGAATTAAACAGGAGCCGAGAGACTACTGCTATGACTCAGGTTGGTCCTCTAGCAGGGCCTGCTGCTGAGCCCTTTTTAGGTTGTGTTGATGTTTCAGTAGGTGTAAAATGCAATCCTTTCCTAACTGTCAAACGATGAGTTGTTGGCAGTATGAAGGGATTAATCTGGACCTTCTTCCTTCCCTTGGGTGTTCTGCATCACTTTTTATTATCTTTGCCATCAGCAAGCTGGGAGATTTGTTACCACGGTGATAGGTCTTAGCTGGTATTTCACACACTTACTTCATGGACGTTGCTTGACAGAAGTAGCTGGTCACATTCTGCAAAGTGACCTTCCGTTAATGTCAACCTTGGGACGGACAAGACCACAAAACCCAAATTTTGAAATAATTCCCTGCTGGTACTAAATGGAAGTGTGTTAGGGGCAAGATCCTTTCTATTCTACATCCTCCTTTTGGTTTATTTTTAAAAGAAAAGAGCTTTAACCATTTGATATTTAAAGGATCAAACTGTTTTATGTAGTTTGCAAAATGGTTTCCTCAAGGGTGTTATTAATTTGATGCTCTGTGATGTGACTGAATTCTCCTAATCAGCTTATGCCTAAAAATACCATAACCTATAAGAGGCTGTGAGCAGTGATCTACAGTAAAACTGAGCAGATGCTAAAGATTTAAAGCTAAAGGACAACATCTAATGGCATCCAAGGATTTAGGAGAACAATTTTTTTTAATGTAGGTCATGGTTTCTTTCTGTTTTTGTTTGTTTCCTATTTCGCATTGATTACACACGTTATTGATGTGTTGTCAATTTTTTTTTTAAATGGGAGAGGCTGGTTTATTTCCAGAGAAATCTAATTTACCTGGAGAACAACCAAGAAACAATTGCTTCCACTGCATATTATGCAGCCAGTTCCGTGGAACTGACCAGCTTTGATTCATATGGCTAACCTAAGCTTCACGTCTCGGCTGGGGGTGGGTCAAATGAGAGCTTTTATTTTTAAAAGCTAGACTCCTGTCCCTCCTGCAAGAAAAATCCTCTATTCCAAAGACAATTTGCACTGATGCCAGTTAGCTAAAATGGTTTTCACAGAATCTGCAGTAATTGTCTGGTTTTCCTGTTATTTTTCCTAAATGGTCAAGCATGTTGCCGAATGTATAGCGCTGAAACAAAGCTTACCATGTGGATTCACAGCCAAGTAATGACTAACTTTATTACATTTTCCCAGAAGAGTGAGCAATATAATAAAATGCTCAGATCTTGCAGTACTTCTCCTCCAATTTCAAGCTTCTACATTTAAAATGTAAAATGCTTCAGCTATAGAATACAATATGAAAAGCTAATATCAACAATATCTGAGTTTGACAGTTTGCTTTGCTTGTCTGCTGCTGTTCTATCAGAGTAATTGAGATTATAAAAAATGTTTATCACGGACATCAGTATGTGGCTGAACAAAAATATTATTTGACAAGCAGTGGAAAGAGCAATTTTTTTTTCTTCCTTCCAATATGTTTTTGATCAAGCCATCTGGCTTTTTCTGTGTCTGGATATTTCCTTCCATTTCCATTAGCTTGACTGTGTTCTCTCAACATCTGACTGTCAAACCTGAAATCATACATGAACTACCAACTCCACTTAATGTTAGAGCTGCACCTTGAGTTAGTTTTAATCAAATACTTGACTTATTACGCTCTACCAAGGAATTTTTTTAATAGCAAACTTTCCACTTCTTTTTGACTTCCACTTTGATTTTTACATTGGACTGACTGAAGAACTTGGATTATAGGAGATTCAAGGGAGGTTTTTCTCCCGTAACTAAGTTTCCATTTTCACTTATCTGATTTGCTTCCCTCTTCCCCTGTAAGTTCCAGTTGGATATTTCAGGCCATTGCCTGGGTGGCATTCTTTGTATGGTTGCAGTGTCTTTGATCTGTGTGTTCGCGGAAGTGGAGTTGCTTCATCACATGGAACCCACCTAAGTACACTTGATGGCAAGAGTTTCTATTCAGCAATATACTTCACTTGCTCTGTGGGGTATTTAATGCACCCCAACGACCTGCACTGCTTTTAAGGTCAGCTAACCCCGCTCATGGCAAATAGATCACAATGGTCTCGGATTCAATGCGAATCTGGTCTGTGAGTGAACACACTTGAGGTGGACTGTATCCCCCTGTATGGCTTTATGTTCAGTTCTCCCATCTGTTTGCAGTTGAGCAAGACAACAAAGTAGGGACAAATATTTGCAATTTCAGGACCTAAGCATGGGCTTTATTTTAAAACCCCATTCCCTTCCCATGAAGCTGAGCGACACTTAGAGCATGTTTTCCTGCTCCAAGTGGTGGCAGCTTGTTTTAAGATTTAAATTTTCAGTTGTCTTGGAGTGTGAATTATTAAGCACTCCTGTTTGGCTTGCTTTGCTTGCTGCTATGCCCAGCGATGTTCATGTGACCTTTTCAGGGGGTTGCAGTTCTTATGTTATGTTGTCACTTAAATAAAACTGTTTTGTTAGTTCTATTTTCCACCTATAACATCCTTTTTATTTTAAATTCTAAATCTTCCATACAGAAGTGCCTAATTGCCAATCCTCTTACATGACGGGAGGAAACTATTACGCTGGTCCCAATAATCCAGAAGGTAAGTCGCACCATTTTTATATTTGCGCGTGGTTTATTATGATAAAGCATGTGTTGAAGGGTATGGAACCTCAATTGCATCCAGCTATAGTTTGTTTCAGAATAGTCGGATTTTATTGGTTGAGGTACGGGGCAGATATTCAGAATCCGTATTTTGGTTCTGTGCAAAACAATTACAGGCAGAAGATTATGTAGACAAATGGTCTGAATACAGTTTTATTGGGTGTATAATTGGGATTATAATAATATATGCTGGCTGCTAGCAAATGCACAAAAAGCACCATTCCTTACTGTAATATTAGGAGAGGTGAGATATTGGACAGATGCAGAAATGGTGTGGTGCACAAGGAGCACCCATTTTAACTGCACCGGTTCTCCTAACAAGCATTATGACATAGAGATGGCAGGAGAATGGCACTGTGGCATAGCCCTGCACATTGTTTCTATTCCAGTTAACATTCAGTACCCTCTTGAATGTTTCAATCGAACCTACAAATTTGAACAAAGATTTTTTTTAAAACAGGTTGCATATTCCAGACTAAGCAGCTAATTATTGATCCATACACGTGTTTCAAAATTCCTTGCTGCTGTTCCCACTCCACATCTATCCTTTTGCCACCTGTGTGACGAGAACACTATTCAAAGCATTTTGTCACACTTCGGGAAGCAGCTAGGAGGAATTTACCAGCCCTAAATTTGAGTTGTTCCTTTGCAAAGTGTTTAAAAAGTGGAAGTGTTATTTTTAACAATGTAACATCAAGAGAATAGTTCACACATCTACTTATCTGATTTGAAAAATGCAGGTTTAAAAAGTAAATCTATTTTGGAACTCTAGTTCAACTGAACCATTACCATGCTCACCTATTGAAATCTTGAGCAACTATGGGTTTTAGCTGCTTGTTCTTGTTGCTTTTTGTTATGTTTTCTGGATAACAGAGTTATCTGCTGTGGCTAATACAGCTGCTGCAGCTGCACCTCATAACCTCTGAACAGTCTTGGTAATCTGTTTAGGAAAATGCTGGCTTAGACCCAACCTCAACCCCAGAACTTAGATGATACAACTTGATGACATATACTTTTTTTTAAAAAAAAAAATCAGGTGTTGTCCTACTTAAAGCTGAAAGGCAGCCAGGGTTTTTAGCTTGCAATGTCTGCCTTTGTTTTACTTTTCACCAGAAGTTTTTTTTTATTTAAACAACTACCCTCTGCTTAGCATCTTTTGCTCTTTTTTTTTCTGTCTGCTCATTCTTTTCTCCCATTCCCATGTTCTCTGAAAGCAAAATCATGAATCAACAAAATTCTTCCAATTGGGAGGAGAGGTTTTGTATTTCCATTGGTTACTGAGTGTACGCTACAAAAATGTAGCCATGTCACCATGATTTATCTTTAGGCTGTCCAATTGAGAACGCTAAGCAACATTGAAAGTTTATTCAAGGTTGGTAGATGGTCAAAAATAACCAAAAGAAAGTGTAACACAACAGGAGGCCAGTTAGATTATGATCTCCATGGCTTGATGCCAAATCAGAGTAAGTAGAACAAGGGACAGAGGAGATGTAAAATTAATTGCTCAAATTTTATTTAAAGACTTTTCTGACTGACTGTGTGCGAATGTTGGCAAGCACATGTAGATGAGGCAACTGAAAATGTCTGTCTTTACATCCTTCCCAGGTTTCCCTTATGAGAAAGATCCACGACTGTACTATGATGATACATGTGTGGTGCCAGATAGGATTGACCGTAAGTAATGTTAACTTGCAGTTCCATTCTGTTTTGGCTTTGGTTTGACAGTTTGGTCTCAAACTGAACCAGGGAAATCAAGTTTGATCCTAATATCAGTTAAATTAGTTTATCACAACTCTGTGATTAGTTTTTATTTTATTCACGTGGGATGTGGGCATCATTGGCTGGGCTAGCATTTATTGCCTATCCCCAGTTGCCTTTGATAAGGTGATGATGAGCTGCTGCCTAGAACCACAGCAGCCTGTGTACCATATGTAAACCCACAACGCCGTTGGGGCGGTTGGGATTTCCAGGATTTTGACCTGGTGAACGGAAGAACGCAAATATATTACCAGAATTAGTTGGTTAATGGAATTATGACAATTGGTAGTACCAGTAAGGGTTCTAATCACCATTCAGTGACCCTTGTTGGAAGGGGAGAAGGCAGGAGAATGGGAATGAGAAACATATCAGCCATGAATGGTGGAGCAGGCATGATGGGCCAAATGGCTGCCTTCTCTTCCTATGTCTTAAGTAGTTTGTACGGTAGGAACTGGATTGGATGCACTTTTACGTACTGGTCCTGCCCCAATAAACCACCACCATCATCGACTCTTTTTGCTTGATGCAAGGTTTTTTTAAAAAAGCAAGGCCACTTGGGATATTACAAAAGGCAAATCATCTGTGCGAATATTTTCATCCAGCAAGAACCATGGCTTCTGCAGGAGGGAAATATTCAGAATAGGGTCAACGCAAAACTTATTCCAAATAGAAGTCCATTTTTAACATACTTGTTCAATGTTATTAATGTTGATGTATTGATTGCTAAAGTGTTCTGATGACGAGATTGCGGTTGAATCAACTGGGTTTGGTGGCTCATGTTCTCACGCCAACAATATTATGTATTCCATATTAAACAAAAAATATGATAGATGAATCAGGACCTTGTACTCTAATCCTTTTATGGTAGCTGAGGAACGAGGCTTGTGTGTGTTCTGTGTATTTTTGAAAGTCATAAAATCGATCTCTTCCGTTTTGCATATGGTGTGTGCCAACTGGAGAGATCGAGCCAGTAAGGCCCAATGCAGTCCTTATTTTTGTACCCCCATGCCCACTCCCCACCTTACGTTTGTTCAATCCCTTCAATGGAATTTTTGTTGGTTTCTAAAGGAACTGGCCACATGGAAAAAGTCACTGCATACATTTTTCATACCAATGTAAAATCTACAAAGCACTCTCCTGTCCTCCTCTGTTGAGTGGAGGCATGTTAAGTGAAAAGTTTATTTTGGATATAAGTGTAGGGCTTACTGCTGAGAAAACAGTGTCTGTTGGGAAGGCAAGGAGTATGGAACTAGCTTCTGATTTGTTTTTTTTTCTAACAGATAAAGTCAAACAGGAATCCCCTGTGTACCGGGAAAACTTGCCATACCAACGTCGAGGCTCCTTACAACTGTGGCAGTTCCTTGTGACCCTCCTGGATGATCCATCTAATTCTCATTTTATCGCATGGACAGGTCGAGGCATGGAGTTCAAGTTGATTGAACCTGAAGAGGTATGTGTTACATCAGACTTCTTGTCTATATTTGGATTGATTCCTGTGCTGCTCTGAATCTGGGCTGTTATACATCTTTTGGTTCCTACCCTTCTACATGGTTGTGTCTCAGCTCTGAGCTGGTGCTAATGACAGTGGATTCTGGCATTGTTCCCCCAGACTTCGCTGGCACAAGGTGAAATGTGCACAAAGATATCACCCTAAACCGTTGTTAGCTTTTTATATTGAACAGATGTTATGACAAGGGTAAAAGGACCAACCAGATCTACTTTGAAGGAAATGGAAATTGGAATGGCTTACTCAACTTTGCATTTGTTTAGTTCAGCTCAGTAGAATCAATTTTAAGACGAACTGAATATTTTCTGTTACTGATAACTCTGCTTTATCACAGCATATCTTAACACTGAATGTTACAAGAAACAGTAACTATTTTAAGGAACACAATCTTTTTAAAATGAATAACACTGTAATCTTTATAACCTTGTATCAGATTTAACGTATCACTGGGGTGCAAGAAGATAAAACTGCAACTGGTCCACATTTATTTCAGATTTACCTAGAATAGCTAAGGCTTCAGTTCAGTGGTGGTCTGGAACACAGCACATTTCTGAAGTTCAAACAATTTCAAAAGTATTGACTGAAGCTCCATTTCCATGGGGACTGGGCCATTTTCTTGTTTTTGCATATTAGGATTTCCATTGTGCCCCAGGGTTTTAGTAGAGCCATTCATCTACACTGCCAGGGTGTGGTCACAAGTCTTCATTCATAACGAGCAGTAACTATGTGCAGCCTTGTCTCCAGTAACTAATATCTTTTGCTTGCCTGGAGCTACTGTCTGTTGTTTAAATTATATGTGTGTGGGATGAGATGAAGGCATCAACTGTCTTAATTTGCTGGTGTCCTTCAGCTACACGGTCCAAAAAGGCGATGTTTCCCGCAAATTACTTGAAGAAATTCCAGTGTGATCGCAATCTGTTCAGAAAATATTTGCTCTTGAGAGTATTGTATAGCCCATGGATATAGATAGGTGACTGCCTTGGGTTTGCTGAGATCACTGAAAGGAAACCATGGAATGGACCGGTCACAGGCTCCCACTGGGGTTAGGGAAGGTTTTAGTTGAAACCGCATAGTACTTTTCAGACTTGTATGGACAGCTATGTTCTGGATGGAATTATGCTCATATGGAATTACTGGAAACTATTGCTGCCTGAAAATGGATCCAGATCTGAGTGAAACTTGGAGATTGGCTGCATCCTCCTTTTTTTGTAACACAATATTTCAAATCCATTCCCTCTTGTATCATCCAAACAGATTTTGTATGAAAATCTCTAAAAACAACAATTAACTATCATTTGTACCAAGTTCCTGCATTTATATAAATATGATGCACAAAGCTGCCTAAGCTGTTTCTTTAGGTACCAAATGTAGGAAATATTTCAAGAAAAGAAAATTTAAGTTCATCTGCAGTTATGTATTCATTCATTTCTACTTGCAAATTTGTGTCCTTTAGGAATAATTTACTGTTTTCAGAGACAGAAAGAACCTCCAGTATCACAGTCAACAGAATAAACAGGCAGAACAGGACTCGAGATACCAAGTCTAGATTTAGGGAGGAAGGGGAGAAATTACAGCTCATTCTGGGGTTCTCCTGATTCAGAACACCTTGTATTATAGTGTTTATGCCTCACCCATTCCTTCCTAATGCAGACTAATGCATGATATTAACTACAAAATTGCATAAATGCTTATCTAGAGTATTCATCAAAGTAGGTTTTTTTTTGCATAGTCTATTCTACATTTATTTCCCTCTTTCGATGGTGGATTTTGAGAATGAATACAGAAAAGTCCATTAAAATCAGCAAGTTATGTCCGTGTACTGCAGCTTGCTGCATCAGCAAGAACATTTGGGGAAAGTAAGAGGGGACTGTAAAAGTGACCTTTTATTAGAATAATAGGGAATGGATAAACTGCACTTCAAGAACTGGATTATGCTGCTATGGCAACAGTGAAATTTGTATCAAGTGAATATTTTGATGTGAGGGTTATGCATATTTGAGAGGTGCACATTTTAACAAATTGCAACTTTGTTTAAAAAAAATTGCAGTGGCTTTCCGCCTGGTTGTGGCTGTGAAAAGCAACTGGCCAACCAAGTGAAGTTTGATTTGAATCAAAAGCTTCCTTCACTGGTTTGTGCGTTAGTGGTCAAGATAACAGTACAACTCATTTTTCAGAGTACAGGCAGTTTTTTTTAAGCCTGTAATTGAAGTAGTTGGGCATGAAAGATGCTGTATTGGTCATTCAGCTCATCTACTACGAATGCTTGATACATACACCTTTTTCAGCTAGTCACTTGAAGATGTGCAAGAAAGTGATTTAAAGATTGCATTGTGTTGCAATAAATGCTGGCCAGCAAGTTGAAGTTCAGGAAGACCACTAGACTAGTTAGCCACCTTTGCTTTTGAGAGTATTTATAGCTCTAATTTTTATTCTGAATGAGCTTTGTTCTTTTATCTCTGTTCAACCATATTCTACAAATACATATTTGCAGTTCCCAGTACTTTGGTTGAATTACTGGATTGGTTGCCCTTGGGAGCAGAAGTACTGTCATTTTTGTGCTTTTTTAAAAAAGATGCACTGGTGATAAGGAATAAACACTTTCTAAAATCTCGTTAAAATCATGCTTGCCACATCAGCAGCTCCATTAGTAAACAGCTGAAGCACTATACTGTTACAGTGGTGACCTATGGGTCTTTTATTGATTTTCTGAATTCGGGCTCCTGCATTTACTGAAATACTGCTAATGGGATATAGATCAATAGTGCAACCGCAGAGTCTGTGGTCACTTTATCTTTGTATCCATTTAAGAGCTCATTTGAGTGGTCTCCATATCTATGAATATATAAACACAGCTTTCGTTTCCTTCTCTTTGTCCTTCCTGCTGCAGGTTGCTCGGCGCTGGGGTATCCAGAAAAACCGCCCAGCGATGAACTATGACAAACTGAGCCGCTCGCTTCGCTATTACTATGAAAAGGGCATCATGCAAAAGGTGGGGAAAAGATCCAGATTTAAGAGAAAATAAATTTGAGGGTGTTTATAGTGTCAGGACCCTCTAACCTTCAATGGCCTTAAACTGGAATCATTTGTGCGAAAACTGTCCAAGATGCACAGCTTTTTAAGTATTTCATTCATGTTTCAACTTAACATGTTGAAGTGAAATTTGTTTTTTTGTTTCCAAGTACAAAATGTTGTATCAGCCTTCCAAAACGGTAAGGGTTCAAATATTGATTTGTATAGCTGTAAATTGTGTTCACCGCGTATCCTATAACCATCTCTTGCCTCTTGGTTAATGGCTCTAACATTTGTATTGAGTCTTGACTCCTTTCCTGCATTGGGTATTGTATTTAAAATCAGTTTTCCAGTCTGGAATATTGCTACTGATGGACAATTATGTACTCTTTGCTTCTGCTCTTTAGGTCGCTGGGGAGCGGTATGTGTACAAGTTTGTATGTGACCCCGAGGCACTTTTCTCCATGGCCTTCCCAGACAATCAACGCCCCTTCCTGAAGACTGAAATCGACTGTCATATTAACAAGGAGGATACTGTTCCCCTCACGCATTTCGATGATAATGCAGCTTACTTGTTGGAAATGGATCACTGCAACAACCTCCAGTATCCAGAGGGCTTTGCATATTGACTTGAATCGAGCAGCCCAATGTGACTGAATGCATCATTGTCCAGCTGAAAAGAGCATCTTATGTGGTACTGTTGCACTCAGCTGTTAGGAATCCAGCTCTTCAGAACGTTCAAGAGCCTAAAAGTTGTACAGTAGCCTCTCACTACTGAAGAAGCTGCCATCTGCTTCACTGACGACGCACTAACAAGCGTGACTTAATACGGCTAAGTCCTCCACGTTGATAGTTATGGGGTGGGGGGAAGCCAAAACTGTGTGTTCTGGTGTGGCATTTGCGATTGTTCAGCGTGGCATTCACAGAGCTTGGATAGACCATGTGACTGTAGCGTTTGTTATGACAATCTGCTTTCCGTTGAACAGTTCTTTCAGCTGCCTTTCTGATGTTAAAGGGCTTCAACTTGCACAATCCCACAGTCGTATCATGGGTCAGATTCAAAGAAAACAGTATGCGCTGTTGCCTGTAGATCTGTGCCCTGGATTGAATACGAACTGGCGCTGTATTAGGTAGCTAAAGAGAAGAGTCCTGTCTACCTGAGGCTCCAATACAGAACAGCTTGTAGTTTATTTTGTTCTTTTTTAAAAAATGCTTAAATGTTTTACCTGTTTAAACTCTGAAGTTATTTGACACCTCCTACACTATTTTTCCTCTGGCTCCTTTTCTAAACTACACTTGTGTATGTAGCAATTTTTAAAATGGTTTTAATTCAGTTCTTCTCAAATGGATGAAGAGCTTTATTCAGGTTTACCACTGCCATTTGATTTTTTTCCTCCCACTTCTGCCCCATCCCAGTTCTGATGCTTAATCTTTCTACAATAGAAAAGGCTGGAATCAATTCTTTGCTCGATCCATCTCTAGGGAAGCCATTGCATTCAGTACCTTTGTGTACAAATTGTTTCCGTAATGAGGTTATGCTTGTAATATTTTGAGGTGGGAGTATGTGGGGTTGGGTAAAAGGAAGCCATCAACAGGTATTTTTCAAAATTTCAGAAGTGTATTAAATTTTGAAGCTTTTTTGTCTTTGTATTTAAGGCAAAACCTTTTTGTTAATGGCATGGCACTCTGAAGTATAGAGTTCCAATATTTTGGTGATAATGTTACAGCTTTAATCAAGGGGGTTAGGGCTTTTACTGTGTAACACAGTTAATCCTGCTGCAGGTTTTAGATGCCTGCTTAAGCTTTGCACCGTTAACTTTCCACAATTTAATGTTTGAAAATCTAAATATAGGTATGACTGTTTCTGCACACAGTATCTTGCGATGGTACATTGCAATTGTATAATTACAGCATATCCTCACTCTTTCAGTTCTTTATATTTTATGTATAAAGTCCCCAGGGTTTATATTATTGGAAACAAAATTATTTTTACACCAGATCTCAATTGTTTTTATTTTAGGGGTTCATTTTTTTTCTTGCTTCTACTCTTAAATCGTATGCTGCAAAGACCAATTTAATGGATGCATTAATTGTGGAAACCTTGCAGCATTTCTTTTCAAATTGTGTTGTGCATTTAAAGGAAACCCTGCCTTGTACACCAAATAAATGTTTCATCTCGATTGTGTACAATAAAGTTTTTTGTTTCTTTGCCTTGCACTCTTTTTTTTTTTTTTTCTTTTTTAACTTTGCTTTTTGTCAAATAAGAGGGTGAGGATTTGGTGGCTTGTTGCTGTTTCAGATTTGAAGAGGAAGAAACTGCAGTTCCAGGCCAGGTTTGTTTTTTTAAACTCTAGCTTCTACCAGTGAAATCTAATTACTTGAGTATACATGGAGTATTGCTACAAATTTTGGAGGAAACCAGTTCAGAAATGAGGAATCTGAGAGGAGAAATGCAGGTCTGTTAAGATGTGTTTGGAGTAGATGTGCATAAATGCATGGAGTGTAGCAACTGAAGCCTGTAAGACACATACACAGGCTACCATATAGGAATATATACTGGCACAAAGATGTCAGAAGATTGGGAACTTGGAAATGTTACTAGTGTTTAGTTCCAAACAGCATGCATGCTTCTTTTTGGTGAGGATTTTCAGTCACTCGCTTGGATAGGACATTACAATGGGTACGGGAAGCATGCACTGAACTTGTGCAGATAGGAAGACCACAATGGCAATCAGTGTGTAATGCTTTGATGCTAGTATTGCCATTTTGCAATTCATTGTTGCAGCTAATCACTGTCATAAAACTTACACAACTGAACATATATGCAATAACAGGAAGTACTCCCCATCCTACTCCTCCACCAGTGCTATTTATAAGGGGTTATTCTCTTTACTTTCTAGAAAGTTTATTTATTTTGCTACTGGCTCTTCCTTAGTATGCACAAATATTGGATGACCTATTATTTGAAGTTGCTGAAGTCTACAGTCTTCTGGCAAGTAAAGAAGGACTTAATCCTGACTTTAAGATGTGTGTGGTAGTTTTCACCCTGTTGGATGAAGTCGAGCGGAGGAGGCATGCTGCTAAAGAGCAAACAATGTTTTGTTTGCCAATTAAAACCAGGAGTATTTCTGTGCGAATTGACAACCTCAGCCCTTGCCAACCTGTGCACATTTTTTGCATTTGGATAGGTAGCGTGTCCATACAGGAAAAAGTGCCCCTTTTTTTTGGGTCTGTGGATGTAAATTCTGCAGACTTTGGTTGGGAAAATTAATGATATCTTTGTGCATTTGGCAGTTGCTTGAAGGACAAAAGTAAGTACCTGCAAAGCTTCAGTTGGTTCCTACTACTTTAAATAACTGATCAATCCAGTAAAATTTTCTTCTAGCTCCCTGATGAACGGATTAAGTGATTCACTTGAATGCTCCTATTCACAATGGTCATATGTATACAAGCTAGTATATAATTCTTAGAATTTCCTTGTGGGTTCTCCAATGGAAGATTGGCAGAACTCCATGAAAAATGGTGTAAAAAGCTAAAAATGGCTGTTTGTATAATTTCTTCATAGTTTGTAGCAAAATTGTGGTATGGGTTTGGCAGGAAAGTCCTCCCTACCCCTCTCAGCATGTGGGCATGTTCCCAAATGCAATCTGCTGCACCAACTGCTCTCAGTTGGGCTGGTACCATTCATTTCCACGTACTTGGTTGAAGGAAGGGAATCATTAGACCGCAGATGTTAACCACTATCTCCTTTGCTGAATTGTGTGTGGAAATTAGTGAAACTGTACCAGGCTTTCCCTGCAATACCGTCTAAAGATGGCCAGACTACTCTTTACTTACTCGGTAGGTTTACACAAGTCTAACTATAAGATGGCTGAGCCTGTGCGTGTGTTCCCTGTCAAGATAATCAGCACCTTTTTGAGAAGAGCAAAATAACGTTGTTTCGATAGTTCCTGACTTGTTTCTATCGATCTGTGACAAAGAGAGACAACTAGTCACACGCAGCCCCCAGTTTGCTCTAATTTCCTGGTCCACCATTGAGAATCTAGATGGTGCAAATTCCCAACATGCTCCGGAAGTCATCAATGAAAGATATCTCACCTCGTTGTCACAGAATATTACACTCGGTTGGAGATGGACTTGTTCAGGAGGAACAAGTGGTAATCCTAACCTGTGGCCACCAGGGTTACAGTTGCCTTGAAGTTTAAGCTGTTGGCTGACTTTAAGGAACAGCTGGAAATCTATATGACAACTCCCAGTCATTGACCTATAAATGAGTCTGGACTGTTATTGCTAAGTTTCTCAAGGGCACTGCTCTTCATGTTATTCCCCTGTGATGATGAGCCCCAAACAGTTTGAGCAGTGGGATTTTCTACCCTTGCTTACCCATAGGTACAGGGATCCATTGACTTCACCTACAATGGTGAAGAGGTGCTCTCAAAGCAAGCTACAGCCCATTGCTGTCTAATCCTGGTAATCTGCACCAAATATCCTCCAGAAGTGCCATGATTCTTGTATACAAGTGATACAACAGACTCCTGCCAACGTCCTCGGCTGCTGAAAGAAGAGGAATGACCCTCCCAACACAGCTCATGACACCATGAAATCCTCAATGAAGATTCAACCCTGCTCACTTTTTCCACCAGGGCCATAGTTTGAACAGACAATAGACCTCTTTGTGGTCAGGTTTCATTTCCAGATCAGCTTCAATGGAGCCATGTAGTGTGGCCCAGAAAGGATGTGTTGTATCACGTGATATGGTGAACCTGTCCCAACTGCAGACTAAATACAGATAATTCGAGGGATGAGGATCAGATTGTTGACCAGGATGGCTGTTCAAGAGATCATGACAGAATAGGACATCCCACAGTTCAAGAAACCAGAGAGAAGCTAATTGCAACAGACTTCCAGAATGAATCAATGGACTTAGTTTAGAGACTGTTGTTAGTTTGTCAAGCAGCTCCTGCTTAGGATAGGATTATAGAATCCCCTCTGTGTGGAAGTAGGCCATTCAGCCCAACAAGTCCACACTGACTTTCTGAAGAAGATCCTCCTCAGACCCAGATGTGAGTCATGTGGACCTTATTTTTGTACCAATTGTATTGGTGTCTTTTGACCTTGTGTGTTTCTGAATAAATGGTTCATTATCCTTGTGCTCGTAGGTTTGATATTTCCAGGTGCTCCTACTTTAAAATAATCCAAACATCTTGCATGACTGTTCGTACATTTAGTTACGTTTTCCCTAACATCACATGATGCTATCAGAAAATCATGCCTTATAAATATGGCTACCATTGCCATTGGGAATAAAATGATTCATTGTGAACTCAAAATATTAACTGTTTCTCTCCCCACACAGGAGTCCAGTCAGATTCCCTGAGTTTCTCCAGCACTTTGTTTTATATCATATGAGTTTCATGCAGTGCAGTCCCTCATGATGGCCACCAGCTTGACATCTTCTGACCCTTCCATCATCAGTAACCTTTCTGTTTCAAAATGCGATGAGGCTACTAAGTTACCTTGAAATGCTTAAATATCATCCAGGACAATGGTGAACCTGTGTAAAGCAGTTTGTTGTGCAGCTTCTCTCAGCAGTCCTGTAGATTATGAGAGAGAGTAGATGTGTGAACTGTCCATTTTACACCTCCCAGCCTTGAATGGCAGTATGTTCCCTTGAAAAAATGTGTGGGTGGAATGAACTGTCGCTGTTTCTGTATCCTCGCTCACAAGGTTTGTGTAAATCTGAAATGATATGTGCAGGCCAAGGCCTATCTCATTCTCTGCATGGAGTATTTAGCTTCAATGTTGTCCATATTAAAGTGTAATGCCTTGGCTGCAATCCTCAATGTCACAATTCAAGGACTCCTGATTTTGGTGATTCTCTATAGTCAAGGAGACGGTTGCTTGTGAAAGATGAGCAATGCATGCCATTACATTTCCTTTCACCTGTGAATGTCTGGAGATGCTTGTCTCACAAATTTGTATTGCAGCAGATATTTTAAACAATGCAAGTGCGTAATACTTACAAAGGTGAAAGACTGTTTGCAGTGATGTTGCACCCATGACACGTATGTGCCCTCAATACTTTTTCTTCTTCACCTTCCTAAGTGCAGACCCGACTTCCACAGTTTCTGCCACATGATTCATTGAGAATGAAGTGAAAAGCAGAAGAGTGCATGAGGAAAATTCACCCCAACCCCTGGTGAACCTGACCGCAAAACTGACTCATCACTACACTTTAACTGTAAATGGGAAAATTCGTTCCATTCATTCATCAACATCCATTTGACATCTATTTCAATGACCTGGAAGTGGTAATGATTAACTTTTGACCCTAGGCATGTCTTAAAGCGACGAAGAAGAGCATTAAGATTTGCCGTCCAATATTTATTAATAAATGATGCATATTATGTATAGTCTGATTTTGTAGAGCAAAAGTCACTATAAAATAGATGGCAATTTGTTGTAACAATCTGCCTGTTGCAAAGATTATTAAAATGCTGAATGGAAAGAGCAAATTAAGTTTGTTTAATCTGCTGTTAACCAGATGCCATTCATTGCCTTGTTTAGAATCTCAAATGACATTACCCAGGCCAGAACTGAAATCATGTACCTTAGAAGTGCTATCCTCCATCCCTGATTTGTTTTTAAATTACACTTACATTTACCTAAAGTTATATTCTGTCAGATTGGGCAATGTTAAAATTTCATGTATTATATAAATAGTAAAGACAAATGCTTCCAGAATCTATTGAATACATTTGAAACAGGGGATTAAAAAAGGAATTTAGCGCAGTCGAGTGGTGTTTAAACAAAGCAAATCATTTTGAAGTGTTTTAGCTTTGAAGCAAAATCACAAGTTTGCTTCTTTCACTCACTGCCAGACTCTCTAATTGCTTATAAAAAATGTCAAAGAGTATCTCAAGGCTGTCTACAGGAGTTGGAAGATCAGGTACTATGTTAAATTCATTGAAATTGTCATTTTCCTTACTAATTTAGTTATCCACTGAGATGATTGCATTGAAAAATTCAAAATTATCAAGGCACTGGATGGAATGAGACATGAGGGGCTTTGATGCCAAAACAAGGAGGGCACAATTTAAGGATAAGGAGCCAATAATTTGGGAATCAGGAGATTAGGAAATTCTTCTTCAGAACTTGGCACATTTTGTTGCAACTTTTCATTTTATACTCAT